CAGAATAAATATTAACAATATTTTAATTTAAATAAATGCTATAAGTTGATATATTAAATGTTATAGAATGAAAATCAAAATCTTATGTCATAACTTGAGAATATGACTACATAATATGTTATATACCTAATTTACACTAAAATTTAAGTGAATTACCTATGTCTGGGTTCATTTTTAACACCCCTATATAGGACCTTCGATACAAGAGCGAGTTGGTTGTTATTCTTGATTGAGAAGTTTGAAAATTGAGGACAAGTACCCGTTATTAGAGGATAGGTAATACTCCTTTCCTGATTTAGCTCACATTTCTAACATTGATCATTTGGAGAGGAATTATGGATAAATTGGCATCTTGTAATGACTTTTTAAATTCTTAGGGGTGAATTACTTTTAAAAGAAAGCGGAAGAAAATTTTGAAAGTAGCGAATTGAACATTTTAGGTTAAGCTATGTTTGGACGATTTATGAGCAAGTTGACGTCTAGAAATATTCAGGGTAAATTTTTTATATATCTTTAAATTATATGTGATTTATAGTACATTTTATATAGTTTATAAATATTTGTTTTAAAAAATTATACTCTTTTCTTTTTTTTAGTTTATTTTAAAAAAACCATCTAATTTATTTTAATAACTTTCTAGGTGATATATTTAAGATGTGTCAAATCAAATATTCTTTTTAAAACAAAAAGAATATATCAAACTTAAATTATTTGACTATTTGAACAAACAAAAAATAATAGAAATGATATTTCTCCAGAGACATACAAAGAAACCTCTGGAAAGGTATAGTAAATTCCATTAACTTGTAAGGTGCTGGAAGTTTCAGAAGAAGTCTCTCAACGTTTTCGGAACTTTCAAGATTCTTAAACGACCCCCTTTTTCTCTATATAAATTGCACCAATCAAACCCCCAAACTCAATCATAGAAAATCATCAATCAAACACTAGAGAAGAAGAAGATCATCAATACTACAGTGTATAGTATGAGTGTCATCAGCAAATTAACATTGCTCATCATTTCAATTGCTTGCATTTTTCAGGTATCATCACTAAGCGCAGATGGGTCATCACTTGTACCACTAATCATAGACCAAATGATAAGCAGCAATCCGGCTAATACATTTCTTGATCCATTCAAAGTTTTAGAACAAATACCATTTGGATTAGAAAACACTCTGCTCGCGAGAGTCGACTGGAAAGAGACGGCGAAGGGACACGTGATAAGCGTAGAAGTACCTGGATTGAAGAAAGATGATATAAAGATCGAAATTGAAGAAAACAGAGTGTTGAGAGTGAGCGGAGAGAGGAAGAAAGAAGAAGAGAAAAATGATGAAGAGAATCATTGGCATTGTGTTGAAAGGAGTTATGGAAAGTTCTGGAGACAATTTCGTTTGCCTGAAAATGCTGATATTGATACAATGAAAGCTAAGCTTGAAAATGGTGTGCTTACAATTTCATTTGCTAAATTGTCTGCTGATAGAATTAAAGGTCCTAAAGTTGTGTCTATTGAGAGTAAACAACAAGGAAAAGAGTCCTCTGTTAGAGAAGAGCTTTAATTTTATGAGTTCATCCTCTGTTTTCTGTTCATCCTCTGTTTCTCTCTGTGGTACGTGTATGATGAAAAAAATGTTAAATAAAATCGTATTTTGAAATATTATATATATATTTTTAATTTAGCTTAGTTCACATTATGGTTTTGATTTTGATTAGTTAAATTTGCATCACTTATCAAATCAAATTATATTAATTTGGAACTGTATAAAATTTGTCACTTTTAAAAAAAATGTAAATGAGAATAAAATATCAGTAAAAGATACTTAATAGAGGCATAATTGGAAATTAAGAGTTCGTTTGATTCTAATTAACATTATAGGAATTGATTTTAAATTTTAAGCAAAATAGAGGCATAATTGAAAATAAGAGTGGATTACATAAATATAATTTAAAAATTATAATTATATACATAGGTATTAACTTTTAGATCGTGAATTAGGTATTTACTTTTATTAGAAGTGAATTTTTATTTTTTAAGTTTGATGTGAATTTTTATTTGGACGATGTTATGAATTCATTTATTAAGTGTTTATTTATGAGTTTTTAAATTAATTATTGTTATTATTTAATTTAAATATCATAATTATTAGTTTTTGCTTAATACATTCGGTAAAAGAAAATATTATATTTCTTAGAAATAATTAAATATTTGAGCAATAAAAATGATTAATTTTTTGTAAAAAAATATACACGGTAAGAAATTTTCATTAATTTAATATTCCTTAAAAATGATTAAATATTTGGGTAATGAGTAGTGTTTTTAATACGTTATGGTATACTCTTTAATTTTATTTGTGATTGATTTTAAAACTATTATAATTAAATATTGAAATTAAGTATATTTGTTTTAATCAATTTATATTTGTATTTGATGCCAGATGAATTGAGACGAGATATTTAAGATGAGAGCTTTAGTGTATGCGGTTTGTGGATACAAATAACTAATTAATAAGACGCACAATTGATATAATTGTAAGCTAGAGACGTGACGATAAATTTTGGAGACTACAAGTTTCAGTTTGAGTAAGATTGGGCATAATATATGGAGTACAAATTCAGTAAGGTAAATGATATATGGAGTGTAAATTAGTGAGGCGATGCATGAAGATCTTCAGTACAAAGAAAAAGTTAAGTGTAAAGTTGGTTGTTATTTTTGATTGGAAAATTTGAAAATTGAGTACGATTGTAGGAGCCACTAGAAAAATTGGAATTGACATAAGAGATAAGTACCTCACTTGTTTGAGGATTCAAGTAATACTCCCTTCATGATTTAACTCACCTTTTTACCATTGATTATTAAGAAAAGGGTCTAAAATACCTTCGAAGTATTGAAAATGGTACACAATTACTCTCTATCCATCTATTGACTCCCAAATACCCTTCACATCCACCTTTGGGTCCAAATTTACCCCTTCATTAACAGACCAAAATTAAAAATAATTAAATAATAATTTTTAATGACGTGGCACTCAACCATTGGTTGTAATTTAATTATTTAAAATAATTTTAAACCCACCCATTTTAACTAAACCCACCCATTCAATCTCATATAAAGCTAAAAGGTTTTTTTTTCTTTTCAGCAAATCCTTTAGCAGTATTCCTACACAGTATCTCAAAATACCAATTCATTCTAAAAACTAATTGTTCATAAAAAAAAAATTAAAACAGAAGCAAAATAGAAATCAAGTCGTTAACCTCTGAAGAACATGTGATTGCAAAAGGAACAACACCAATATAATTTCTAATTCTATAAAAAAATCTTCATAATAACCTAGAATTTGGATCTAAATGTCTGACAATGGAATTCCCTTTAGGCAAAATCTGTTCCACAGGAGTTTGAAGAGCCTTAGAAGGATCAGCCAAATTCTCTTCCGTACGGAGGAAGCAAATCACATCGACCATACAGATCTTCCCAATACAGCGGAAAACAGAATATCCTCCGCCTCCTTCTTCTTCTACAACCTTCCTAATATGAGATTCAATGGATGGGTTTAGTTAAAATGGATGGGTTTAAAATTATTTTAAATAATTAAATTACAACCAATGGTAGAGTGCCACGTCATTAAAAATTATTATTTAATTATTTTTAATTTTGGTCTGTTAATGAAGGGGTAAATTTGGACTCAAAGGTGGGATGTGAAGGGTATTTGGGGGCCAATAGGTGGATGGAGGGTAATTGTGTACCATTTTCAATATTTCGAGGGTATTTTAGGCCCTTTTCCGTTGATTATTTGGAGACGAATGATGGATAAGTGAATATTTATTGTAACGAAATTTTCATAATAAGGGGCACGTTAATTTTAAAAGAAATATAGGACAAGAACATTTTGAAAGTAGCGAATTGAAATTTTCAGGTTAGGCTATGTTTGGACGAAATATGAGCAAGATATGTCTAGAAATTTTCAGGATAATGTTGATTGGGTAAAACATCTAAGTAGAATTGTTTTTCTTGTTTCTAAGGCGTTAAGGAATCCATAGGATTTTCTGAAATTGAATTTAGGTGAGTAGGACTTCTGATCATATCGAATATAAAAATGTTAAGATTTAAAAGTGTGTTGCGAAATGGAGAATTTCTGAGTTTCTATTTTGCGTTCGTTGTTACGACGGATGAATAAATTCTCGCTATAGGAGGTATTTCCTCTAGGGCAACACCGTTATAATAAGATTAGACATTATAATCAGGTTAATCCTTGTAAAGGTAGAAAGTTCTCTCTCATTCTTACCCAAAGAATGCATTGGGGAAGTGCAGAGGAGATCTAGGGGGAATATTTTTTATCTAGTTTTTTCATCATTAGTTTTGCAATACTAATGTCCTAAGCGTCCGACTGTACACACTCGAGCTTATCTAACATGTCTTACACAATTATGTGTTAAATTTTCTAGTTAACATTGTTGACCCTCATAATTCTTGAATAAATGAATGATATTTAATAATTTTTTAATTTATAGACATAAGAAGATTGAGTAACTCAGATAACAAGTTATAGTATCACATCTTCATTATTTTGTAAAAGTGTTAGAGTTATTATGCGTGACATTTAAAAAAAAATACATAACGAAATTTTACTTTTTCATTTATCGTTGCCTTCAAGTTTTTTCATGTATTTATTTAGCCATTTGAAAGTAATTTTATTTTTACTCATGATGAGTGATGTTTTTTTTTACTATAATACTAGCAAGTTTTATTGATTATTTTCTTTTAGGGGTAAATTGTATAGTATGATAAAAATATATTTTTAAGAATAATTTTTGTTTTATTATCAGAAAGTTAAGATATTAAATTATTTATAGTTGTATAATCATGTTATAAATTTTATTTTCTGTAAGTTTTTTCGGAAACAACAGAAACTCGTGTAGGCAATAAGACCAGAAAACGTGTTATATTTCCAACTTCATATTATATATAACATGGAAACCATCAAGAGAAAAGTTGTGAACCGTAGTTAGCAGGGGCTGCGCGAACGCAGGCCTCCATAGCAACAAATTATGGTGTAGGCTCAACCACTTAGGCCGACCTTAGGCAAGTACCCCTCCAAAGTGCAATGGAGGTCATAAGCCTAGGCCATGGGTCTCATTGATCGCTCATTGACCCCGTCCAGGTAAGTATGTATTTTAAGTAAGCTCAGCTTATTATTAATATTACTATTTTTGCTCCAATTTTCTCTTAGATGCTAATGTGGGAGAATAACTCAAAATGTCATTTACTCTCTTATAACTTTCTTTCTGGAAATAGGAAAAGAAAATTAAGGTAGCCTATATCCAAACATTGTAATGTAATACACATGCTCATATTCAAAATCCAACCAAAGAATCAAAAACATACAAGTAGCATCAAAATCAAGCTCTGAAACAACAACTATCTAGAGAACAATTGAAATAAATTTATCCTTATTCCTTAGCTCAAACATGCATCCATCCAGATACTTGAAATAAACATTTATATGAACTTCAATGATAATCAAGACTTGTTTAAAGGGTCTTCACATATCTGATTAAAAAATATTGTTGTTCAAGGGGTAACAGTAGCTAGACAAGTACCTTGCTGAAAGAACATCAAAAGAAAAAATATTAGTACTATCAAAATTTCTCTTTGTCCCACATCGGCAAAACACACCTTTGGCGATTAGGTGAAGAAACTAAGTAAAACGGGAACCATTTTGGTTGAACAGAGTTTGTTCAATATGCTCATACCAGTATCCTCGATTTCTAATGAGACATTTCGAGAGCATCTAAAGATACTCCATAGAATTTTATACTATGGTGTATAAATTTTCCTATAGTCTTTTGGGCTTCTTTTCAAACTTTTGGATTTTTTATAGGATGTCCATCTGTCCTGTATCCGGATTTGGACGAAGCCACTTGTCAAAAATTTGTTCATATTTAGGTTCGTATTCAATATCTTTATTACTTTTTATATTCAGGCTTGAACTCGATATTTATTATTAAGGAAGAAGTAAAATTTAGAAGTATTACAGTTGAAATTTGAGCTGATCAACAAAAATAGTTTTAGGCATAATATATATATTGGAACCTAACTTGGCTTAAAATTTTAACTTTGACCTCCAACTTTCATAATGCACAAACAGATACCTTAAGTATCCAACTTTTAAATAAATAAACACATGAGTCGTACATGACACAATACACGTAGGACACCACGTAGGACAAAAAATGACGTGTAGGATGACATGTAGGAAATGTGTGTCTATTTGTCTAACTTTATGCAAGTTTAAGTTTCTATTTGTGCACACCCAAAGTTGAAGGGCATAAATGTGATTCGAAGCCAAGTTAAAGGGCATATTTATGTATTATTGCCATAGTTTTATTGCAATTTGTAATATTATTTTGAAGTCTAAGTTATTATTTATTGAAATATATATGATTTTTTACTTAGTTATATATATATATATATATATATATATATATATGTATGTATATATATATATGTATATATATATATATATATGTATGTATGTATGTATGTATGTATATATATATATATATATCGCAGCAGTTAAGAGAAAAATTGTCCCCAAGGCAACCACTTGTGTCTTTCTTGAATATGCTCAGTTCGGGTATATATATGTTATGACGTGAAATCCAAGAGAGTCGATGTATCCTTAATGCTCTCTTTAATAGGGTCGCCTCATATTTTCCTTAACCTAATTAATCAGCCCCGAGGGAGAATGATGATGGAGATGTATTGCGGCCTTCTCCTGTTCATCAACTCAAACCTCATTCTTCTGTAGTTGATGTTACGGATTAGCCGCACTCTGCAGGCCAGCAGCTTTGCTCAGCATTTTTTGCCAACTGTCAGCCTGTTCAGCTGACCTCAGAAAATTCCTGTCACCCGAATTCTCCTCACACTTTTTCCATCACGATTTTCTCTTAGAGAACACTCGCCTCGTCGATTCTTCCCCTCTTTCTTTTTATCTTGGACATTGAGATGTTCATGCTTATATATATATATATATATATATATATATATATAGAGAGAGAGAGAGAGAGAGAGAGAGAGAGAGAGAGAGAGTCACACTTCGAGCTTGCACCCTGAACGTGTTTGGCACTCGAGACCCATTATTCTCAAACGAACCTTTGGCCTGGCTCAAGTCTAAGAGGAAGACTTATTCAACATAAGATAAACTCATATATAAATATTTAATTCAAATGTCTCAAACGTATAACTCAGATTATAATAGAATATTCAACTAGCCGTAAATAGGCAACTCATATCTTTAAAATTGGAAAAACTACAGAAAATAGCAAACTATATCTCATATTAAAATAATATAGCTATAGTATACTTTATTTATATTTTATGGTTATATTTAATTAATGAGTAACAAATAAAATTTAACACGCCTAAAATTATTTTATACAATTTCACGCGGGTTAATCTTTTTTCCCTCTTTTCACGCTTCTCTTTCCTACTCCCATTTTTTCAGCTTTTATTCATTATCCCAAATCAAATCTTTATCCTCAAATCACAAACATCACTCCTAAATCAACTTCACCTCTTCAAAGTATCCACAAAATCAATCTTTTCGGTCATCGGATCCTTGCAATCAGAGACATAATTTGATTTTCAAAATTTTATTTCTTTTTTAGATTCTACAGGTTTCTTCAAATTCTTTTTTTTTCTATTTTTTTCTTTGGAAGTCTTATATATAGGTATACATTTATATTTATTTCTAGTGTTGAAGTTGAAGGTTGTTTCCGATATTGCAATGTCAAATAAATACTCCTAGGAGGATCACAAGAGGTACATATTATTGGGACTCTTATATTTTTCAGATTAGGACTCTTAGGATTGTCTACTATATTGATATATAACTAGGACTTGTAATATATCTAGAATGCATGTATCCTTATTATAAATATATGTAACACATGTTCTTGATATTCAATGAGTTATAATCAAAACTCTCTCGTGGTATCAGAAGTTCAAATCTAGCCCACACTGCTTTTTCTGTCTCTTTCCTTGTTTTCATTTCAGCCATGACTACTCAGCCTCTTTCTATTTGGGAATCTATTACTTCAACAATCTCTTCTCTTCTAATATCAACTTTACTATTTCTACCATGTCCACAACTCCTTTGTCGCCCTATTTTTCTCTTCCTTTTGTGCCATCTTCTTTGGTCTCTATACCGATTTCCTTATCTGGTCAAGCGTTATCCACGTCTCTTGGCAATACTAATGACTTACCTTTTGCTTCTCCGTGCTCTACTAATTTTGATCCCATCTTTTCTCCCACCTTTTCTTCTTCAGCATCTCTTGCTGCAACAAATATTATAAATCTCGTTACAATCAAATTTCAATATGTCGAAGACTATTTGATGTGGAGAACTCGATTTACCTCTCTTTTGATTTCTCATGATTTACTGAAATTTGTTGATGGATCTTTTAAACCTCCAAGTCAATTTATTTGTGATTCTTTTGTAAATCAGCAGCCTAATCCCAACTACCGCTCATGGCTACGAGTAAATCAAAATGTCAGATCATGGATTTTTGCTACCTTATCACGAGAGGTTCTTGTTGACGTCCATCTTTTGCCCACATCTCGTGATATTTGGTGTCTTTAAATAGTCGTTACATGGATGCTAGTCAAGAAAAATCACTTGACTTGAAACAACAACTCACCACCCTACGTAAAGCAGACTCTACATCTATTGGTCAATATCTGAGGGATGCAAAAAAAATTGCAGATTCCTTAGCAACTATTAATTCTCGATTTTAAATGAAGACTTTATTGATCATGTATTACTTGGCCTAGGAAAGACATATGACACATAGTTGGGATTATCACTCATTTTCCTAGACAATTGTCGTTTGAGTACCTTTGTTCTAAGTTGTTACTACATGAACAACGTTTGCAGCGCTTTAAAGATCCTGATCCACCATCTCTTCTGCAAGATTTTTTTCTGCTCAGAATACACATTCAAAGTCTTCAAGTACAACTCATTCACATCAAAGAGGACACGGAGGGGTCATACATATTCTCCTAGAGGCCGAGGTCGTGGATCATCTGGAAGGTTTCAACAACATCAAGATCTACAACAAACAACTTTCTCCATAATGACTCTACTGGACAAATCACATCAGGTATTGATAGTGTTTCCCATGTCTCTTATGACTCACAGTCCACCAATACATGTTCTCCATCCTCAGGAGTTTTAGGTTCCCATCATTTGACTCTTATTTGTCAAATTTGTGGTTCTATCAGCCACCAAGCATTGCAATGTTCAAATCTTTTCAATCATGCTTTGTTTGTTAATGATCTCCCTAAGTCTTTTGCGATTATGTAGTTGGTAAAACGAGTGATGCTACTTGGTACCTTGACTTGGCTGCCTTTGCTCATATGACCCTATCTGAAGGTAATTTTATACATACATCCTCTTACAATAGTTGCAATCATGTTTTAGTTGGAAATAACACTTTCCTTTGATATTAATAAAATTGGATACTGTTAAATATCTGCAACATCTCGTCCTTTAAATTTGCACTCCACCTTTCATGTCCCTAATCTTAGTCATAATTTAAATTTTGTTAGAAGGTTATGTGCTGACAATAATTGTTACGTAACTTTTGACTCTTCTTATACTTCTATTAAGGACAAAGTCACGAGTCAACCTCTTCTCAAGGCTTCTAGTAAAAGTTATGTTTATCCAGCGTCCTCTTCATCTGCTCATTCCATTGCTCATGCTTTGGTTGCTTTGCGTCAACCAGGATATATATGGCACCGCCGTTTTGGCCATTGTGGTGCTTGTGTCGTTGATAGTCTTAGGAAAAACAACTTAATTAGTTTGATCAATTATTTTAACAATAGTTCTGTCTCTTGTCGTCTTGGAAAATCTCAATGTTTATCTTTGAATTTAGTTGATCATTGTAGTTCTTGCCCTTTAGAAATTATTTAACCTGATGTATGACAATTGCCTATATTATCTAATTTAGGCTTTCAATATTATGTCGTATTTGTGGATGATTTTTCTCATTTTACTTGGCTCTATCCTATGAAAAATAAGTCTGAGGTTTTCACATACTTCTGTGCTTATCAAAAGTTGGTTGAAAATCTTTTTAGTAGTAAAATCAAAACCTTTAAAAGTGACG